GGCCGGGCTGCCCCCCGCCGCACACGAGTCTCCGCGCAACGCGGGTTGCCTGCTGGCCTGGCGGAGCTTTGAGCACCTCGTCTGGGTGGCACGGGCGCAGCTTAGGCCGGAGGCGAAGGAGCGGCAGCCGAGACGTTCGGGAGGCTGAGCGGACAAAGAGAAGGAAGGGGAGAGAGCGGGCGCGGGGGCGAGCGCGGGTCGTGAGTGCCGGGATCTCAAGGGTCATCAAGATCTTACCAAGGAATCCACCTTGGAAGAAGGTTTAGGTCAAGGCGACTCCACTCCAGCCTCTCGGAGGCTCTGGTCAGGATGTGGTTTGTTTTCCGTGCGATGGGGCTTCCTGTGTTTCAAAATAAGTCTTCGGTCTGATCCTTTACAAAGGCCTCGAGGTTGCCTGGGTTCTTTTTTAAAATAGGTTTTTGTTTTATTTTTGCTTAATCCAAATTTTCTTCCAGATCAGGAAGAGAGTTATAATAAAAGTAATATAGAGGAGAGGTGCCCTAATCCTTGGTGGGCATTTGAATCAATGTCCCTTATGTTTTTTCTTTTTTTCTGGCCTCTTCTCACATTGTAATTGTAAGGGCTTAAATTGAAATGTTAACTGTACAAATGAATCAGGGTATAGATTTATACCTTTAGCACTTTTATTTTTAGTATTTGCTCTTGGGGGATGGGTTTAAAATGAAATACTAATACGCCTACTTTTATGTATTGATTTGGATAACAAAGAAAAAAAACATGGTCACAGAAAAGATGTATAAAAACATTGGTTATATGTTGCTGATAGCCCACATTATTAGTTTGAGAATTTGCCCTAAAAACATAGTTGCTGTTCTAAAATAACCATGGTTTTGAACAGTATTTCTCCGGGTCAGGTTAAATGAGTATATATGTGTATTTGAAATTGTGCAATTGATATGGGAAGAGACCCTTTTTTATTTCAGATTGCAAAACTGTACTTTCTCTTGACATTTTCTCTGTTAGTATGGAGTACCCATTAGTATGGATAACATTATTCTATTACTCTTAGTTTCTTCATCTAGGCATATTTTTTAAAAAATATTTCAGCTGCCTGAAGATGTTCTATTTATTCAGAAACTGTTATATACATATGAATTCAGTTTTCAGTATGTTGTGAATATTAAGGTAAGGAGGATTTCAGAAAGCCAGCATATGTTCTGAGTCTTGTTTAAATCTGTTTCTTGAATACTGACTTGAAAAATGAAAATATAGCCTAGTTTGACTCAAGTTTCTCCCAACCCCACTGTATGCCAGAAGAGAATTTTGGAAGCTTCAAGTTTTAGATTTACGCTAATTTCAGTTTATAATTGAATCACAAAGATTGCTGTTTATTCATCCAGAAAAGGATGCATCAGATTTTCTTGTGCATACTGAAAAGTGAGAGTACTTGAGAGCGTGCTCTTTTGTGGACATTGTAGGGGAATCAGCTTGGCTTGCAATTGCTGATGAAACAATATCCCAGGCTTTTTAAAAATATATATATTTTATATTCCGTATGATTCCAAAATCTCTGTTTACCAGGGAAATATCAAGAAAACATTAAAATTATTATATATAGTAGTTGCTGTAAAGAGAGTTAAACATGTTTTTGGGTTGGGGTTTTTTTTCCCTCTCAGAATTCTCTTCCACTAAAATTTGGAATGCTGTACAAATATACATACACCAAAACTCAAGGAAACTTTCTTCTGTCAATAAAAAATATTATGTTTTAGAAGTTGGGTTAAGCATTTTAGTGCCTATTTGAATTATGCAGTACAATTGGGTATGTTGAAATTGCCTCACAGGGCTCTCCAGTGCTTGTGCAAAAAAAAAAAAAAGTTCACACAACCAAACTTTCTTTTCTCTCCCCACCTCACTTGGCTTCAGGGGTTGAATGGTCCTTTTGAACAAAGCAGGCTATATCATATAGTGAGACATAGTTGGAAGAACTGTCTTCTGTTCTACAATCATTGGATATTACCAATGCTTGGCTTCATTATAGCACATTAATATTATTACAGCTATTAATTGGCTTTATTACTAATTTGAATAGTGACTGAATCTTTAGGAAATAATATTGATTTCTTTAAATCATTTTTAAAATCATGTAAGAATGCTTAACCATAATTTTTCCTGTACAGCTTCAGCATAACTGTTCCAGATGTTCTCAGTATAATAATAAACCTGTTGATGTTAATCATTTCTTTTAAATACATTTTAAAGTATTTTAATCAGTGACAGTCTACTAGATAAGAAGTTTCATTTTAGTCCAGCATACATCTTTCATTTTGGTAAGCAAGAATGCTAAGGGTAGAAGGTGCAGTTTCAGAAGCTAAATGAAGCTGCCAGGAAAAAAATATATAGTTTTTTTATTTGTGGTGGCATCTGTAAGGGCCTTTTCCCCTTTTCTTCCTGAGAATGCTGTATATCTGATTTCTGGGCTGTGGGATAGTATTATCACGCCATTTTCAATTTTCTTGCAGAGCTGTTCAATTCTCACCCTTTCTGTGTGCACTACCCCCCCCCATGTGGTACTTTCTGTTCTTTTCTTCCAGCCCTACCTTATCCTTCATCCTGAGAATATATTTCTTCCAAATTAAGAGCCTTATGCATTAGATGTTTATAAACAAGGAAGGCTTGTTTTGAATATTAATTAACTGCTCAAAAAACAGAGTGTGATATCCCATTTCTATTCCTTTGCACCCCCCTCTAATCCTCTTGTAAGAATATTTCTCTCACAGTCCCCTTACAAATCAAAAAATGGTATGAGGGGAAAAACAATTAACTTTGTTTTGTGAGACTAAATAAATCAAACAACAGAAGACTGCCATGTGAAGAGTTGCCACTGTAGGAAAGAAAGAAAAATCTGGGAAGGATTTCTTTGAGGGAGTGGAGGGAAAGCCTGGGCACTTTTGCATGATGTGCTGAGCCATAGAAGTTAAGTTTGATTAAACTCCAGTTCTGTGATTCTCCCTTATTTTTATAACAAGCCATAATTTCAGACTGATTCTGTACTTTAGCCATGGCTCAATATGAGAGTTAACTAGACTCAGTTTGAGAATTAACTAGACTCAATTTGAGAGTTAACTAGGTGGTTGGATTGTCTGCAAATCAAAAACATGGATCTTTATGGGCATATAGTTGGTGTTATAAAGTAAAAGGGGCTGTGGGAAGAATTAGACTTCTCAGTGCACTATGCAGAACAATAGTAGTTTTTCAACTATTGTTGCTTTTCTTTGCATAAGGAAGTCCTAAAATTACAGGTAGTCCCCAGTTTAAGAACAAGTTCTGTTCCCAAGTTTGGCCTTAAGTCGAATTTGTAAGATAACTGGAACAGTATTATTGTATAATACTGTATAAGTAGTATTGTGTAATTAACTTGAATCACTGTATTTAACTCGAATTTTGTTACAATAGGCTCCATTCTTAACTATGGGTCGTCTGTAAACCAGGTGTTCTTAACCCAGGGACTACCTGTAATGCAATATTCTGGAGATTTTTATTTCTGACCATGGTACATCATTGTCTTGAAAATCAGGAAAGTAAAACAAATGCCATACTAAGATTTTTATCAGCCTAGTTTACAGGGACATACTGTATACTGGATACTGTACTCTATCCAAGTGAAGAATGATTAAGCCTAGTGTTTGTATCTGGAAAATATAACATTTCATATGAAATCTTGGCTTGGCTCTTAAGACTTGTAAGCGCATGCATTTTCCTGTCCCCTCTTCACCTTGCAATTCCATGCAGCTTTCAAATTTAGGAGGTTCAGACAGAGTCTGCTTGATTTTTTATGACAACCCTGTGCTTTATACCACACTCTTCTTGATATTCCCCATAGCATTTGGGGATGCATAAGTCTGCAGGGGAAGGAGGACAATAGAAAGTATTTTTCAATTATAGTTCTCAGGATCCCCAGTACACTTACTAAATAAGAATATATTTATATAGTATTATACAATAATATAATGCTATGTGTAAAAGAAGTATAATTCTCAAGCTAATTCTTAGCATTCTCCTGTGTGCTGTATGTTAAGAACACCCAGGTTACAGACCTCCTCTATTTTAAGAATGGAGCCTATTGTAGCAAAATTTGAGTTAAATACACAATGATTTGAGTTAATTGCACAATACTACTTATATAGTATTATACAATAATACTTTTCTAGCTTACATACAAATTCGACTCAAGGACAGACCTTGGGAATTGAACTCACTCTTAAACTGGGGACTACCTGTATTATCTCACATTTCTCAAAGATGACAGCACTTAACGCAAAAGTTTGTGAGCTCAATTTTTTTAAAAATGCAATATTGGCATTTTTATGTAATATGTTAACATTTAATGTATTTCAGCCTCAAACTGAAGCTTCATTATAATTAATTAATACAGATATTAATACCTAATATTACTGCATTTTTCTAAATCAGGCTCAGAATGCATGTTTGCTTTCATCTAGGTAAAGCCTATGTAAAGATGTATAATATAGCTTTATTTTTTAAAAAAATCCAAAAAGGTTAATTGAAAAACTCAAGAGATAAGTTGATAATGTATTAGAGAAAAAAGGCTAACAAATCGTAGTTACTCAGTATGGAGCATAACTGATATGCATTTGAACTTTACAGTAACAGTTGCATATCAAAAGATGCATATTTGTTTTTGGGGGAAGCCCCCCCACATTTTTTGGTATACTTCTGCAAATCTTGTAGTTTTCTACAGATATGCTGATTCTTTCTTTCTTTCTTTCTTTCTTTCTTTCTTTCTTTCTTTCTTTCTTTCTTTCTTTCTTTCTTTCTTTCTTTCTTTCTTTCTTTCTTTCTTTCTTTCTTCCAATG